TTGTGGCTAATTGAGGAGATCCTGGTAATGGTTTCAGAATGGGTCCAGGCAAGGGAGAGAGTGTGGCTTCATTAGCTCCCCCCTCCGAGTTGGGGGAGGGGGATGTGGGGACAGGGCGCTGCTGAAGGATTTGGTCAGCAAGTGGTACCCGGCTGATGGTGGGAAGGTGCCGTTCACGCCCACCCAAGGCCCGGCCCAAGGCTGCGCGGCCAGGAGCCAACGACCCCAGGGCACCTAGCGGATGGTGAAGTCCACGTCGGGAGCCCTGGTTCTTGGGTCAGGGCCATGCTCACGGGACCATGCCCTTCCTCAGGAACGGGACTGTGTCCTTCACGCCAGCGTTGGGCGTTAGCTGGGCATGAGGGGACCAGGAAGGAGAGGGCAGGAGGGGGAGCCCTCACAGGGAGGCTCTGAACCCCCTCTCTGCCAGCCTGTCTTCCTAGGAAGACCCCCTGGACCTTTCCGCCGAGGCCACAGGCCGTCGTGTCTCTGGGCCCAGGAAGGGAGGCTGAGCCCCCTTCTCTCCTCCAGATTTCCTTTCTTTCCTTTCTTCTTTCTTTTTTCAGTCGAATCGCCTTGGTAAACAGTTCCCAAGTTCACGATTGGGTTTCAGTCCACAGTGTTCCAACCCCCGTCCATTCACCAAGGCGACTTCCCCGCCATCAGTGTCCCCTCCAGCCTGCCTCTGTGGCGGACACGCCCCCTACCCTTTTGGGCTTTCAGGTTTGCCACCCGGGTACTGAGAGGTCGTCATGTCTTTCCCTTGACCTCCTCACAGCACTCAGTTCCTGCCCGAGTGGTCATTTCCAAGCATCATTGTCCTCGTATTCCCGTCTCTCTCCTCACTGCCCTCCCCGCCCCAGCTTGTTATAAACTTCCAACCGTGGACCAGTCCTCCTGACCCTCCTTTAGATCGTCTTTAGATATTTTTAGTCTCATACCATGTTGTTGTTTTTTTTTTTTTATATCCCATAAATGAGTACAATCATTCTATGCCTGTCTGTCTCCCTCTGACTCATTCCACTCACTCATAAGCACTTGTCATGACCTCCTTTTTCCTAGTGGCTCTGTAGTATATTCCATTGTGTGGTTGTACCATAGTTTCTGTATCCAGTCATCTGTTCTCGGACACGTGGGTTGCTTCCAGATTCTGGCTATTGTGAATAGTGCTATGATGAACACAGAAATGCAGGTGGTGTTTCTGCTGTGTTTGGGGGGCACCCAGGGTATGTTCCCCGGAATGATATTGCTGGGTCGTATAGAAGCTTAATTTGTAGTTTTTTGAGGAAAGCCCATACTGTTTTCCAGAAAGGTTGGCCAGTCGGCATTCCCACCAGCGGTGAAGGAGAGTCCCTTTCTCCCCACCTCCACGCCAGCACTGGTTGTTCTTGTTCTTTTTGAGGTGGAGTGGTGTGAGATGATATCTCGTTGTTGTTTTGCTCTGCATCTCCCTGATGATTGGAGATGCAGAACATCTTCCCTATGTGCCTTTTGGCCATTTGAATTTCTTCTTTACGGAAGTTTCTGTCCCTCTTGTCCCCATCTTTGAATGGCGTTGGATGTTTTATTTCTCATAAAAGTTCTACCAGTGGGGCTGGAGCCATAGCACAGCAGGTAGGGCATTTGCCTTGCACGGGGCCGACCCGGGTTCGATTCTCAGCATCCCATATGGTCCCCCGAGCACCGCCAGGAGTCATTCCTGAGCCGGTGAGCCAGGAGTAACCGCTGTGCATCGCCGGGTGTGACCCAAAAAGAAAAAAAAAAAGTTCTACCAGTGCCTTGTGTATCTTTGCTATTAACCCCTTATCGGGTGGGTGTTAGGTCAGCATCTAGGATCCTTTCCTAGATCCTTTCCCCCCATCTCACCCACCTGCGGGGCCTTGGGCAGCCTCAGTTTCCATGTCTGTAGCATGGAGACCCTGTCTGCCATCTTCACCCACACGCTTGGGGGCAAGCTTTGAAAACCAGACCAGCCTTCCACACACCCGGGAAGGGAATGGATCTCACCAGGGCGACTGCCTCACGCCAGGCCGGGGCTGGGCCGCAAACACACGCTGGACAGCCTCTCTGCCAGGAGCCCGCACCCAGCTGGGCACCGGCGGCAGCAGCAGCAGGCACGGGCACTGGTGTGACCAGGCAGGACCTTAGAAAGTCGGACCCCACGGGTCCTCGGGCGAGCGCCTGGAGGGGGCATCCTTAGGCCGGGGCTCCCACGGACGGGGGCCTGTCTCGCGTGGGGGTAGGAGTGGCGAGTGGAGGGAGTCCGTCCCCCTTGGCTCCTCCACCCCTCCCGTCCCCTCCTCCCTCTTCCTTCCATTCCTACTTTCGTGCCAGGGACTCCACGTGCTCTGGGGGGCACCCAGACTTGATCTTGTATTCTTTTGGCCACACCTGACTGCTCAGGGCTTTTTCTTGGCTCTTGGCTCTTGGCTCAGGGCTCACTCCTGGCGGGGCCCATTGGGGGTGCTGGGGATCGAATCCCACTCGGCCATGTGAGACAGACCCCCCCCTTCCCTCGCTCTCCTCCGGCTCCAGCCCAGGCTCACCCACTGGGTGCTCAGGAGGGTCCCACATGTCTCAAGAGGCCATTGCTCGCGTGCCGGCAGTGTGCCGGAGATCACGTCCCCCTTCGTGGCCCCGGGGGTCCCAGATAGCAGAGCTGCCGGACGGTGCTCGGTGCCTGTGCTCAGTACCAGGCAGGGAGCTCACAGTCTGTCGCAAGCTCCTCACTCTGGAGCCATCCCGGGCCTTGGAGAGTGGGGGGCGGGCCATGCCATCTGGGGAGGGGGCCCCTCACCCCACCCCCGGGCCCTGAAATCGCCCATGTGGTCAGCAGTGGCCGTCAGCACCCCTCCCCCAACCCCGGAGCCTTTGTGGGTTTTTTTTTTTTTTTTTTTTTTGCTTTTTGGGTCACACCCGGCGGTGCTCAGGGGTTACTCCTGGCTCTGCACTCAGGAATTACTCCTGGCTGTGCTCGGGGGACCATGTGGGATGCTGGGAATTGAACCCGGGACGACCGCATGCAAGGCAAACGCCCTATCCGTGTGCTATCTCTCCAGCCCCAAGCCCAGAGCCTTTGGTGGTGGGTGGACAGCACTGGGTGCCCGGTGCCTGGGGCCACCTCAGCACACCTGCGCCTCAGTGTTCTGCCCTCGGCCTTCGAGGGCCTCAGTCTCCCACTGTCGTTCCCTGGCCTGGGGCACCCCTCACCTGCCCACCCGCTGAACCTGCCTTTAGGCCCCTCTGTCTCGGATCACTGGGCCCAAGCTCGCACCCCCCACCCCTGTCCTCCGTGTGCAGTTCACAGTGTCCACACGGACCCCCATGTGGCCAGTCACTGCCCACCCGAGGAGAGGCATGAGCGGGGAGCTCATGCCCTGTGCTCGGGGGCCTGGCTCAGTCCCCAGGGCCGCCTGCCCCCAGACCACAGCCAGCGGCGACCCCTCAGCACTGGGCCGGCAGCAGCCCCCGCATACCACGGGATGTGCCCCCCAAGCCAGAATTAAAAAGGAAGAGTGGGAAGTTAGCGCCGGCCGTGGCCGGCCTGCCAGGTGCAGGCAGCTAACCGACCGGTGGCCGGAGAGGAGGACGGAGGGGCGCCAGCTCGGCCTGCCCTGCCACGGGAGGCCCCAGCAGTGGGCCCGCCGGGCCTTGTCGCTTTGCCCTGTGAGTCATGGGATCACACCGCGGGACCTGGGTGGCGAGCTCTCCAGAGTGCTCAGCCCCCTCGCAGCCCGCTAGTGCTCCCTCCCCGGGACCCAGGCTCTTTCTTCCCGCGGTGACCAGTGTCCACTCAGCCAACCTGAGCCAACCCCCTGTCCCCTGACCTGGCCCCTCATGTACTTTGCTGCCTTGGGGGCAGATTTGTGTGTGTGGGGGGGGGGGGTTGCCGGGGACAGCCCTGGGCCCCACTGCCCAGGTGAGTCCCGTGACCGCGTCTCTGCCGCCTGCCCAGTCTCCTGACTCACAGCCGCCAGCTCTGCTTGCCGAGTCTTGCAGAGAAACACCCCAGGCCGGTCTCCTGTGTGAGGGGGCATGGAGGCGGGGCCTCGGACGGGACGGAGTGGGCGCCCCCCCCTCCACCTCACCCCCACCCCCAGTTCTAGGTTTGCCGTCATCAACCGCACGCACTGACCTGGGCCTCTACTGGGCCTCGGGGCCCCTGCTGTCCTGTGGGGACCCTGGCCTCCTGCACACACTCAGTGCCAGCCTGGGGGTCTCCCCGGTACCCTCTGGGTTTTGCCTTGTTGGTGTTTGTGGTGAACAGACGGGTGAGGACCAAGGTGGGGGGGGAAGGGGAATGCAGGGCGGAGAGGTTGGTGGTGTGAGCGAGGTTGGGGGGTGAGCGGGAGAGGGACCCCGCCCCGCCCCCACCCCTGCTTTGCAAGTGGAGGAGCCCGGGCAAGGTTGAAGCCAGCGACTCTGGCATCGCAGGAGGTCTCTGAGGAGCAGGCGTCCCAGGGTTTGTGCGGTGGGTGGGATGTGGGGTCTAGGGGGTCTAGGGAGGTCCCCGCCTCGGGCTGGCTGAGTGCGGGCTTTCACACCTGTGGAGCTGCCCCTCCTGCTCCCTGTCCTGGGGGTCCCTCCGGCCCTTCCTCCGACTCCACGGAGAGTCCCTGCAGACCTTCCCGCTCCTTTCTCTGCTTGGTGGACCCCTCTGCTCCTGACTCCCCCCAGGGGGCAGGCGGTGAGGCCTTCGCCTTCCACGGAACAGCAGACCAGGTTCTGCTCCCCCGCAGTGGGAGTGATGGGCACAGCCAGGGACCCTGCAACTTGGCCCCAAGCCCCAGTGGACCCTGTCCCCGCACTTCCTACCCTGGAGACCTCGCCCCTCCCCCTCCCACAGCCCCCTTGCAGTAGGCCTGGCTGGCTGGACCTGACCCACCCCAGGCAGGTGGGTGGGTGGGAGGGTTGGGCCGAGCTCGCCCCTGATGCCCCTCTCCTCACGGGCAGACTGGGGGCCCGGGCCGGCCCTTGACGCCCCTTTCCCCACCCCCCAGGCCCTCCAGGTTGCCCGACAGTTCCTGCTGCAGCAGGCCTCTGGCCTGAGCTCGTCGCCCGGGAACAGTGAGAGCAAGCAGTCGGCCTCTGCCGTGCAGGTGCGTGTGGGTTCAGCCCCTGCAGAGTCCCGGTGCCAGGCAAAAGGGCGGCCCCCACCTGCCCTCTCCGGGTGCCCAGGCCAAGTTCTGGCCTCCTGTGCCCCCGCCCTGTCCCTGCTTCCTGGGCCTCTGGGGGGGGGGCGGGGTGCACGGGACACCGAGGTCACTGACCCTCATGTCTCTCACCCACCTCTCTTCCATGGCCAGTGTTTTCTGCTGGAGGTCCCGCCCGCCTGCCAGCGCCCCTCCCTTCTCCCCCCCCCCGTGGGGGCGGGGAGCCGGGCAGGCGGGGTGGGGGAGGGGAGGCCAGGCCTTCTGTTTACCTTTTGTGTCCCAGAGAACTTGGGAGAATTGTGTGCGATGGTTGGCGGTGGGTCCCCCCCACCCCACCCTCCCCCAGCAGGAGCAGGAGGCTGGGGGACTGGGGAGGGGATTAAGCCCGGCTTTGAAAGGAAGTTTGTCTCCGGGAGGAAGAAGGGCGAGGTAGATCTGGGGCCAGAGGTTGTGAGTGGCGGAGCTGGGGAGGGGGTGGGAGGCCCCTTCCCCCGGGGGAGGGGGGGGAGCGGGTCTGGCCACTGTCGGGGAGACCCTGGGCCCGGGCCAGCCTCTGGGCTGCATGAGGACAAGATCTGTTGGGAAAGTGCTCCCGAGCCCCAGAGAGGGGGCCCTGGAGGAGGGGGGGGCGGGCCTCACAGCAGCTGTCCCCTGAGTCAGGGACATGCCCCTCCCCCCACCCTGTCCCCATGCGGGGGTACAGGAGCTCCCGCCGGCCACTGTGAGCACTGAGGGTGAGGACCAGCGCTTCCTTTCCTCTCCCCTGACCCTAGCCCCCCCTCCCCAAGGTGAGAGGACAGGACCGGGCGGGGGAGGGGGGCTCGGATCTTTTCCTCAGGCCTCCTGTCCGCCCTCCTTACCCCTCATACCTCCACTCGGCACATTCTTAGTCCTTCCTACCCAAACAGCTAATTTTTTTTCCGACTGAGTATTTGCCACTGGCAGACAGAGCGCTCTGCCGGAATCATCCCATTTTATCCTCCTAATCCGGAAGGACGAGGGTAGGGAAAGGCTGTGATTAGCACCATCTTGCCCAGGAGGAGGAGGAGGAGGAGGAGGAGGAGGAAACTAAAGCCCAGAGAAGTGAAGGAACTTGTTCAGGGTCACACAGCAAGTGCCGGGAAAGCCACGCTTTAGACCAGCCCGCGCTGGGAGTCTGCGGCGAGCTGAGCGCAGAGATGAAGGCCCAGGGGTGGCCCGTGCCTCCAGGAAAAGGCTCTCTTGTTTCCTCCTCCTTGGCCCAAGTTGACCCTCCCCTCTGGGGCGCTGGGACCCTCTCCCCAGGCAGGCCTGTCCTCCTGCGCACTCCCCATGTGCTCCCTGAGACTCAGCTCTGGCTGGGGCAGGGCGGGCAGTGTCCCCATCCTCTGAGATGGCCCCACAGCTGCCTCTCGGCTGTCCTGCTCCCCAGGGAGGGGTCTCCCCCCATCCCCTTGCCCATCTTGCCCTCCCTGGGCACACCGCCTTCATGGGGAGGGGTCCTGAGCCCGGGCTGCCCTGGGCCCCTGCAGGGTCAGCGGGACACCAGCACGGCACAGAGCCACAGGGGGCATCACCGTGACCCCTCCTGACCTCCCTGCCTCTCCATGTCGCCCCAGTGGGGCACTGCTGGCTGGAAGGATGGGAAGAGCCCGGGGATCCTCCAGGGTCATTGCTGCCTGTCCCCGCACGGCCCCTCTGGCTGTGGAAGGACCTGCAGGGTGTCCGCTGAGTCTGATCGGCCCCTGCCAGCGCCCTCCTTCCATTTGTCCTGGGGCTGATGAGCGGTCCAGCGCTGTGGTCCCAAGTGACCCTCGCCACACGTGGCCCTCCAAGGCCTCAGGTGTCCCCGTGGTGGGAGGGTGGGCGTGAGCAGGAGAGAGGCAGACGCCCAGCCTGCATGGCACCTACCAAGGCCCACCGGGTCCCCGAGGACAGAGCCAGGAGCAAGGCCTGAGCACAGCAGGAAGTAGCCCAAAGGGTTTTTAGAGGGGGCAGGGCAGTGTTCAGAGGCCTGGGCACAGAACGTGCATATGGAAGACCTTAAGTTCGGTCCCCAAAAGACCACTGGTGCCCCCCGCGCCCCACCCCTCATAGGGGCCCTGCCAGCCGGCATTTCCTGGGCGCCCTGGGGGTGAGGAGGGCGGGAGCAAGGCCACACAGGCCTGTGCCCCGAGGGTGCTGTTGGGGCCTGGCCTCGGCCCCCTCCCTGGGAGAGCCCTGATAGACGGAGCGACCCCCGGGAGCTGGGGTGCCACCGGCGCCCCTCATCCCACCAAGGGTCCCTGAGTGCCGGGGACACCGCCACCGCGAGTCCCAAGGGGAACCAGGCCTCCCGCCCCCGCCGCAGGTGCCCGTGTCGGTGGCCATGATGTCGCCGCAGATGCTGACACCGCAGCAGATGCAGCAGATCCTGTCGCCCCCCCAGCTGCAGGCTCTGCTCCAGCAGCAGCAGGCCCTCATGCTGCAGCAGGTGAGTCTGGGGGGGGGCGTCCCCCAGCCATGGGGAGGGGGGCGGGAGGTGGGGGGCTCTTCCCCTGTTCGCCTGACCGGCTCCCCGGCTCCCGCCCCAGCTGCAGGAATATTACAAGAAGCAGCAGGAGCAACTTCACCTCCAGCTCCTCAGCCAGCAGCAGGCGGGCAAGCAGCCCCCCAAGGAGGTGAGGGAAGAAGGAGGGGCGCCCCTCCCTCCCTCCGCGGTGGGTGGGTGGGGGGGGGGGGAGGGTTCCCTCCTGCCCCTCCAGCTCCAGCGGAGGTCTTGAGTTGTGGCCTCCTCCAGGAAGGCTGCCCTGCTCACTCTGCCTCTCCCCTGCAGCAGCGGGGGGGGGGGGGGGGGGGGGGGGGAGGGGGGGAGGGGGGGGAGGGGGGCGGGGAAGGGGGGCGGGTGATGCCAGGAGCGCCCCGAGAGCGCGTGCAGGTAGAGAGCTCGCAGGTGTGCCTGCCTGGACCGTGTTGGTGTGGTCCAGGGGCTCCCGGAATTCCTGCGGGAAGATATGAGGTGGAGGCGAGGAGGGTCCCCCCACCCCGCCCCTAGCTGGCAGGCAGGCCCTTATGTCCTCGTCCAGTCCAGGAGCAGCCCCCAGCCCTTCTGCGCGCAGGGGAGGGAAGGTTGGGGGGGAGGGGGGAGGCTCCCTCCTGCCCCTGCAGCTCGCTGCGTGGAGGTCTTGAGTTGGGACCTCCTCCAGAAAGGCTGCCCTGCTCACTCTGCCTCTCCCCTGCAGCAGCGGGGGACGCGGGGGAGAGGGGCGGGTGATGCCAGGAGAGAGCGCGCGCAGGTGGAGAGCTCTCAGGCAGGTGTGCCTGGACCGGGTCGGCGTGGTCCAGGGGCTCCTGGTGGAGGCGAGCGCCCCTCCCCCACCCCGGCCCCTGGCTGGCAGGCCGGCCCATCTGTCCTCCATCCAGTCCAGGGGCAGCCCCCAGCCCTTGGGCGCGCAGGGGAGGGGAGGGGAGGGGAGGGAGGAGGGGCGCGCCGTGCCTGCCTGCCTGCGTGCGTGCCGCGCGCGGGCCGTGCGCGCCTGCGTTGCGGAGGATGCAGCCCTATGGAAGCTGGGCCGCGAGCAGGGAGGCCGCGGACAACGCCGCCCCCCGCGCCGCCGGGCGCCACCGAGCGGCCCTGGGAGGGGGTGGCCGCGGGCTGGGGCCCAGATGGCGCGGCCCAGGCTGACCCTCCGGCGCGCGCCGCCCCCCAGGCGCTGGGGAACAAGCAGCTGGCCTTCCAGCAGCAGCTCCTGCAGATGCAACAGTTGCAGCAGCAGCACCTGCTCGGCCTGCAGCGACAGGGCCTGGTCAGCCTGCAGCCCGGCCAGGCCTCGGGGCCCCTGCAGAGCCTCCCGCAAGGTCAGTGCCCGCCGGCGTGGGGGCGGGGGGTGGGCAGGGGGGAGCCAGGGGGCGCGGGCGAGGCCGTGCCAGCCTCCAGCCCGCCCCCCCTCCGCCGTCTCGGCCACAGCCGCCGTGTGCCCCACGGACCTGCCCCAGCTGTGGAAGGGCGAGGGCGCCCCCGGCCAGCCCGCCGAGGACAGCGTCAAGCAGGAGGGGCTGGACCTCACCGGCACGGCCGCCGCCACCGCTACCTCGTTCGCCGCCCCCCCCGAAAGTCTCACCCCCCCTCTCCCACCACGCCCTGCCCAACGGACAGCCCACTGTGCTCACGGCGCGGAGAGACAGGTAGGTCGCCTGCCCTGGCCGGGCTGGGGGTCCCCGGTGGGGGCTGGAGGGGAGGGGAGGCGGGGGAGCGCCCAGGGCGAAGCTGGAGGCCTCCCCGGGGCACACCACGTGGTGTCCAGCCTCTGGGGAACCCGGAAACGCCCCGACAGGGGAGCTGGGGTGACCCCAACTGGGTGTGTGTGTTGGGGGCTGGAGGGCGGGTCCCTGACCACCTGCTCCCCCAGCTCTTCCCATGAGGAAACCCCCGGCTCCCACCCCCTCTACGGACACGGCGAGTGCAAGTGGCCGGGCTGCGAGACCCTGTGCGAGGACCTGGGCCAGTTTATCAAGTAGGTCACCCCTGATCTGCCTGCCCGCCTTCCTCCCCGCTCCGCCCCCTTCTTGGGACTTGCGCTGGCCTCATTGCAGAGGCCCGTTCTCTCCCGGGGGACCCCACGCAGCCTCCCCCTGGGCACTGTCTCCCCGACCCTGTCTTGGACGTGCCGCCTCCCGCCCCCTTCTCCATTGCCAGGAGGGGGTCCCCTCCCCACCCGCCGCCACCGCCCAGGCCCGGCTCTGTCACTGACTGATTAACTCTGCTGTCTCCCGACCCCTCGCGGCATCGGGGGTCAAACAAATTGTTTTCACGCTTCGTCAGAGGTTTACTTAATTAGTTCATTTGCAATTAGATCTCTCGGTGCCCGGGATTTTAGCAAAGACATCACACGACGGGCGGAGGAGCGGGCGCGGGCCGCCCTCCCGCTGCCCCTCTGGTGCCCACCCTCCTCCCCTCCCGCGGGGCTGGGGTACGGGGGAGAACCCAGCAGGACCAGGACGGCCCTCTCTCGCTCTCTCTCCCCCCCCAAAGACACCTCAACACGGAGCACGCCCTGGACGACCGGAGCACGGCCCAGTGCCGGGTGCAGATGCAGGTGGTCCAGCAGCTGGAGATCCAGGTGGGCCGCCTGGCCAAAGGCGCAGAGCACCCAAGGCCGAGTCCTGAGTCGAGGGAGCACGTGGGGCGGGAGTCCCTTCCCTCCAGTCTCACTGAGGCCTCCTCGGGGTGTGGGGGGTGGGGGTGGCCGGTCCTCGGGCCCTGCCGCTGGTTGGGGGGAGGGCTGCATTTGTGAATGGGCGTTGAGTGACTCATTCATGGCAGGCCCCTGGGTCACACACGTGCCCCTGAACTTGGGCGTTTGGCACAGCCTGTGCTGCTGGAGGTCAGGACAAAGGCAGGGCCTGGGGGGGGGGGGGGGGGCAACAGGCTCCCCTCCCCTGGGCTGGGGGGGTCCAAGAAGAGCTAAGGCAAAGGATGCCCGGGCTGAGGAGGGGCGTGGCGGTGGGGAAGGGAGGCCTGCTGGGGACAAAGGAGGCCGCAGTGGACAGCTGCTCACCGCCCGCCCCCACCCCCCGCCCCCCGCAGCTGGCCAAGGAGAGCGAGCGGCTGCAGGCCATGATGGCCCACCTGCACATGCGGCCCTCGGAGCCCAAGCCCTTCAGCCAGCCGGTGAGACCCCAGCCCCAGCCACCCCCCACCCCGCCCCGCCCCGGCCCCCGCCCCACGGCTCCGGGCCCAAGCCACCTCCGGCCCCCTTTGCTTCCGCAGGCGACCATCTCTGCCGCAGACTCTTTCCCGGACGGCCTGGTGCACCCCCCCACCTCGGCCGCCGCCCCCGTCACCCCCCTCCGGCCGCCGGGCCTGGGCTCTGCCTCCCTGCATAGCGGGGGGCCCGCCCGGCGAAGGAGCAACGACAAGTTCTGCTCCCCCATCTCCTCAGGTCAGGGCAGGGGCGGGGGGCTGCGGACGGCCGCGCCCCCACCTCCTCCCCGCCGCGGCCCCCTCACTCTGCCTGTCTCCCCAGAGCTGGCCCAGAATCACGAGTTCTACAAGAATGCCGACGTCAGGCCCCCCTTCACCTACGCCTCCCTCATCCGCCAGGTGAGCGCGGACGGTCGGAGGTGGCGGGGGACACACACACACACATAACACACACACACACACACACACACACACAGAGCCCTTGCCACAGCCCGCCCCCCTCCCACGGCTCCTTCGCAGCGGTGGGGGGCTCCCGCACGGCCTCGCAGGGAGGAGCCGGGCGCTCAGGGCCGTGGCATTCGATTGTCCACTTCTTTCCTGAACGACTCGCCGTCTCGGTCGCCTCCCTGGCCCTCTCGGCCACTCAGCCCAGCGCTGTCCTCCTGCCGGTGATCTTCGCGCCTGGACCCATGAACGCACACTTCCACACTCTTGACTCGGTCACGCAAGCTCTCCCACACACGCCGTCTCACCCACGTGCACACGCCACTGTGTGAGCACACACCACCCCGCTACGCGACCCCGTATTATATGTACACACCTCACCTTGGACACCACCCCAACTTGTACAACCAGACGCCCCTGCCTCACACGCAGGCGCACACTATTCCGTGCACTCCCTGTCTTTTTGTTCTTTTTTTTTTTTTTTTGCTTTTTGGGTCACACCCGGTGATGCTCAGGGGTTCCTCCTGGCTCTGCCCTCAGGAATGACTCCTGGCGGTGCTCGGGGGACCAGATGGGATGCTGGGGATCGAACCCGGGTCGGACGCGTGCAAAGCAAATGCCCTCCCCGCTGTGCTATCGCTCCCCGTGTCTTTTGGTTTTAGGCCACACCTGGCGGTGCTCGGGGCTTACTAAGCCTGGCTCGGGCACTCAGGAATCACTCCTGGCGGTGCTTGGTGTTGTGCCGGGGATCAAGCCCGGGTTGGCTGCGAACGCTCTTTCCTGCTGAATTATTGCTCCGTCTCCCTCACATACCCCATTCTGTGCATACACGCACATGTGTGCACCCGCCTCGTCCCTTCTTCGTCATGTGCGCACACCTCACCTTATTCCCTAACCTCACACACACACAGGGCCCATCTCCTGGGTACACCCCACCCTCCTACGTGAACACACCCCCCACTTCACACTCGAACACACACCTCACACGTGAACACACGACCCACCTCGCACACCCATGCTCCCCTGCCCGCCAGTCGCGCCCCCGGCTCCCCCTCGCCGTGAGTTTGGGCCTCACACAGCCGCCCCCCTGGCATCTGCAGGGATGGTCCTTCTTTCTCCTCAACAGACAGTCTCCCCCCCTCCCTGGCCCTGAGGCCCCCCGCGGTCAGCTGGGCCAGGGCGCCTTCCGACACCCCTTTTCCCTCGGCTTCTGCCGCGCCCCGCAGGCCATCCTGGAAACCCCCGACCGGCAGCTGACCCTGAATGAGATCTACAACTGGTTCACCAGGATGTTCGCCTACTTCCGGAGAAATACTGCCACCTGGAAGGTGAGCCTGGGCCCACCCCCAGAGGCCGCTTTGGAGAAATGGCCCCTCTATCCCCCCCACCCCCCTAAGGCCTTGGAATGCCTTCTGACTGCCCCCCCCCAGTGCCTGGCCCTCAGGTGTCCCCCCACCCCCAGGCTGCACACAACAGGGGCGGGGCAGGCCAGTGACTCTACACACAGGACCCCCGGCACACAGAGACCCCAGGCATCGGGGCCAGGGAAGAGCACCATCCCAGCCAGTCGGCCCCGAGCTGTAGCAGGGGCAAGGTGCGAAGCCAGGCCGTGCGGGGGCGTAAGCCGTCGTCCGATGGGCAGGAGAGATCCAAGTTGGGTTCCAGGGGAGAGGGGAGTGAGGGTCCCCTGTGCCCCCAGGAAGGAGCCCCTAACTAACTCGGAACCTTCCTGGGATCCCTGGCTCTCGAGTCCCCCTGCTGGTCACTTCTGGAACTGCAGCTGAACAGATTCCACTCCCCACCCCCACTCCTTTCAACAAGTGTTCCTCACCCCGGCGCCCCCTCGCCTCTCTCTGGGCTCTGCAGAGAGCCCTGCTTTTGCCCCTCTGCCTCTGATGAAGCAAACGGGGTCCAGTGGGAGGGTGACTCTACCACCTTCTCTACCCTGCCCCCCCTCCATCCCTGTTCTCCAGTCTTGGGGGGAGGCGGCCAGACCAGAGCCGCACTCTGATTGGCTGTGAATGATGTCATTCCCCACCAACCAGGGCTGCCTCCCTCCCAGACCCGGGACTGGTTTGATGACCAGGCCTGTCTCACACCGGCTGGGGCCCGGCCCAGGGCCAGGTGGCCGCGGGGCTAGCCTCCGGTCTATTTCAGTTCTTTGAGACCCTCACTTCTGCTTCTCCCCTTTTTGGGGGGGCTCAGGAGGGGTTGGCTCTCCCACGCCCCCAGGCCCAACACCCTTAGCCTCCCCTAGCCTCCTGAGGCTGGAGCCATAGCATAGCGCGGAGGGCGTTTGCCTTGCACGCGATCGACCCGGGTTCGATTCCCAGCATCCCATAGGGTCCCCCGAGCACCGCCAGGAGTCATTCCTGAGCGCAGAGCCAGGAGTATCGCCGGGTGTGACCCCCCCCCCAAAAAAAAGATGTTCCCCTTTCTGCTCCTGTGTGCTCAGGGACTGCCCATGCGTTCCCCACCACCTGTGCCTCCAGCTCCGCCAGGGGTCCTGAGACCTCAGGGTCATTGCCGCCGAGCCGAGCCTTGGCACAGTTCTTGGGAAATGCACCGGCCGTCTGGCTCCGGGTCGGCTTCCCTTCCTCCCCCCCCTTCCCTGCTGCTTGAGGTCTCTCCTCTGTCCCCGCCAGCCTCCTTCCTTCCCGGCCTCCAGCGAAGCAGCCCACGCAGACCAGGGCAGAAGGACGGGGGGGCCCAGCCTGGCTTGGCCAGCTGCCGTCCATCCGGGGACCGAGCTGCCATCTGCCACGCTCCGTCCATCCCCGAGCCGTGCCAGCCCCCGCCCCCACCGCACCCCGTGTCCGTCTCCTCCCCGGGCCCGTGTTGTGGGCCCGTCCTTTTGTTTACGCCGCCCCCTCCAGACCCCTTAAATTGCCGTTAATGTTTCAGCGTAACGAATTAGTCTCTCATCACGAACCCGAGCTTCGAAATGAGGGGGGAAAAAAAAAAAGCCCCGGTGAGGCCATCCTCGGAAATTGGGGTCATTCTCATTTGCAAAGCGGAGGATCCGAGCCCCGTAATGCGGGCAAATTTATTCCGAGGCAGGAGCCCCGGCGTGATTAGGCCCTTTGTAATTATCGCTCCAAGAGATTCCACTCCAGCCGCCCGCCTCCCTCGTGGATTAGCAAGCGAGTCGGAAAAATACACAGGATTTAATTAGAGGCAAATTAAAATTGGTAATGAAATGGGGCCAGTTGCAAGTGGCAAGAGTCGGAAGGGAGAGGGAGAGGGGCTCTCGGGGGGCCGGGCGCCCGCCCTGCCTGCTTGCGTCTCCGTTTAGAAATGTAAAGAGGAGACCAGGACGGGGGCAGCACAGGCTGGGGGTGGGGGACAGGTAAGGGGGACAGGCCGGCTGGGGGAGGGGAGTTGGCGGGAGGGGGGCAGGAGCAGGGCCCTGGCCGGCGCCCCCGGCTCCCCTTCCGAGCGTCCTACAAACCAGATGACCTCGATTCCTGAAGTTGGCCTGCGTGGAGGAGGTGGGAGGGACAAGGTGACTTTCTTCCCGCTGCCGTGATGCCCCCCCGGACAGCCGTGCCCTCCTTTCTCGGGGCGTTCTCTTGTGGCCAGGCCCGCCACGTCCCTGCTGTGGGCCCAAACTCTCCGCAGCTGTCCCTTCTGTGTCGGGGGTCCTGGTAGGGCGTCCAGGGGAGGGGGTCGCGGGCGGGTTCCTGACAGATAAGGTGCCCGAGATGTGGCGTCCAGGCCCCGGCCGGGGAACGCGGCCGTGCTCCGCTTCGCGTGTGGTCTGTGACGGGATTCTCGGGGACAGGTGATCTAGGATGCCTTGTTGGGGGCCTTCGTCCTCTGTCCCTGTGCTGGTTGGGAGGAGGGCCCGGCTGCTGGGCGCGCGGCCCTCTGAGCCCCTGCCCGCCTCTTCCCCCCACCCCCCCAGAACGCCGTGCGGCACAACCTCAGCCTACACAAATGCTTTGTGCGCGTGGAGAATGTCAAGGGCGCCGTGTGGACGGTGGACGAGCGGGAGTACCAGAAGCGGAGGCCCCCGAAGATGACGGGGTACGTGGGAACCCCGGGGGGTGGAAGGACGGGGGAGTGAGGCTGGGTGGCCATCGCTCTCTCGTCCTGCCCTCCTGGGGTGGAGGGCACCTTCTCTCTTCTGGCCCTCGGCTGCTCGCGGACCCCCGGGAAGCAGGGGAGGGCTCACCCTCTTCTTTGGATCCCTGCCTTAAGGCACCATCCCTTTTTTTTTTATTTTGTATTTTTTTGTTTTGTGGGGTTTTTTTGGGGGGTCACACCCAGTGATGCTCAGGGGTTACTTACTCCTGGCGGTGCTCGGGGGACCATATGGGATGCTGGGAATAGAACCCAGGTCGGCCGCGTGCAAGGCAAACGCCCTACCGACTGTGCTATCGCTCCAGCCCCAAGGCACCATCACTTCTCGCACCCAGACACCCCACCTTGGCCGCCGGCGTGCTGGGCCTCTCGGGGGTCCCTGGCACACTAGAGGACCTCTCTGCGGGGGTGCCGGTTTCCCTCCGAGGTCCCCTCTTCCTAGAGGAAAACCTCGCTGCCCCCTTACGGCGCCCGCACAGGCCAGTCTAGTCCCGGCTTGTCCCATCTCCTGGCCAGTGTGGGATCAGAGCCTGGGTTCAGACCAACCCTCTCCTCGGCAGCTGCGTGGCCCCCCCTGAGCAGTTCTGCACACTGGGGGTGGTCCCCGTACCAGAGATCCCACCTTTTGGTTCTTTCATTGTTTTCTAATCTGACTCCCCCGGCCCAGGCAGGACTAAGCACTTTACTGCGTAAGAAAAGCCTTTGACATAACATAGCATGTTGCAGGGAGCATGGCAGGCTGAGCTCGTGGCTGGCGTGTCCCCCAGGCCACGTGTCCTGCACATAGCCAGCCCTGGTGCCATCCCCAGCACCCCGTAAGTTCCCCGGAAACCGGCCAGAAGCAGACCCTGAGCACAGAGCCAGGAACAGTCCCTGAAAGGTGTGACCAAAATCCGAAGGCAAAGAAAGGGTCTTGCTTGCCGGGTGGGCCGGAGCAGGGCTGCTTCGGCTGTTTCTCCTCGCAGCCCCTTTCATCAGAGACATTTTTACATGACCCCCCAGAATAGGTCTATGGGTTGAGAATGAATCACAAACTTAATCTGAAACGGTAGCAATCCCCAGGGAGGCTGGAGAGTCCAGTGGGCAGGGCCCTCGCTTCACACGCAGCAGGCCTGGTTCAATCCCTGCCTGGTACCCACGTGGTCCCTCGAGGCCTCTTAGAGGTGACCATTGAGCAGAGATCCAGAAGTCAGCCTGAGCACAGCCTGCTGGGACCCCCCCCCCCCGAACCAGGAGTAACCGCCAGGAGTAACCCCTGAGCATCACTGGGTGTGACCCCCAAAAACAATAAAAATAAAAAATAAAAAAAGAAGGGATGGTGCCTTAAGGTGGGGATCCCCCAAAAAAATCAGGGCTGGAGAGAGAGTACAGGGGTTAAAGATGCCTTCATGCAGCTGACCCTCACTTGACGCCCTGATGCCAAAGATGGTCTCCCCCAAGCCCTGCTGAGCACAGTGCCAGGAGTCAGCACTGAGCACTGCCAGGTGTGGCTCAGAAGAGAAGAGGAAGACCTCCCACAGTGAATCTCACAGTGTGGGGCCCGGTCCCAGCAGCGGAAACCGGGAACTAGACTTCAGTGGTGTGTGGGGGGGGGTGCTGATGGGAGGGACCCCGGTTCTTGGTGCCTGCCCTGGGCTCGGGCAGCGTGAGGCTGGACAGACGGAAGGACCCGGCCAGCCGCCCTGCCCCGGAGCAGGCACTGACTCCACACACCCCTCTCTCTTCCAGGAGCCCCACCTTGGTGAAAAACATGATCTCGGGCCTCAGCTACGGGGCACTTAATGCCAGCTACCAGGTGAGCCCCTCCGGCTCGCAGGGACAGGAGGGAACCCGGGCTCCAGCCTTCCGCCGCGCCCACCTCTGGACTCAAGATGGGCTGGGGCCATTTTAGGGAGTCCGGTGCCCCCTTTTTCTGGTTTCTCTGTGGGGGGAACGGGGAGGCCGGCTCCTGGGGCCCCCCGCCCAGGCCTTGGGAGGGCTTGTGTGTCCAGCGGGGCGTGGGGGGCGGCCTGAGCCAGGTGAGCCCGCTGGCTGACCGGTCTCCCCCCCTGCCCGGCAGGCCGCTCTGGCCGAGAGCAGCTTCCCCCTCCTCAGCAGCCCCGGCGTGCTGAACCCCGGCTCGGCCAGCAGCCTCCTCCCCCTCAGCCACGAGGACATGGGCGCCCCCGGGGAGGCGCTGCCTAGCAACGGAGGCAGCCCCCCGCCCCGCCTCTCCCCGCCCCAGTACAGGTGAGACCACCCCGCTGCCCAAGCTGACCCCTGGGGTGTGAGGTGGGAATAGGGGTACCCAGGGGGAGGGGACCTTGAGGCCCTCCCCAGGTGGGCGAGGTGGGGGCGGCGGGCCCTGCCTGGAGTCCACGAAGGCCCCGTCCGCCCCAGCCACCAGGTGCAGGTGAAGGAGGAGCCCGCCGAGGCGGAGGAGGACAGGCGGCCCGGACCCCCGCTTGGCGCCCCCAGCTCCAGCGGCGGGGGCCCTCCCGAGGACAGCGAGTTGGAGGAGGAGCGGCCCGGAGAGGAACTGTCCTAAGGGCCTCTGGGGGCGGGCCGGGGTGAGACCCCGCCGCCCCTCCCTCGCCCTCGGGAGCCCTGCTCCCCCCACTCCACAGCCCTGCCCAAACCTCAAGGCACTTCCAGGACTCAGAGGGGGGCGCTGGGCAGCACCCCCAGTGTGGCCTGACTGGCAGACGCAGGGGGCGGCCCGTCCCGCCTCCCCAGGGGACACACGGCCCCGGTCAGGGACCAGAGAGGACACGGAGGGCCCAGGCCCCTTCTCAGACCCGCCTCTGCATCGGAAAGCGCACCCTCCCCCGACCACCAGCAGCCGCCGCAGGGCCCCCCGCCCCGAGCGCCCCCCGCACCCCAGTTCTGCTCCTCTGCCCACTCTCCTTTCCGTACTGTGAAGAAGCGACTGCGCCCCACTCTCGGGGCGTGCAGACTGCGCCCCACTCTCGCGGGGAGCCCCCAGGAGCCTCCCAGAGGGAACCCCCAGGAGCCTCCCAGAGGGGTGAGCCCCCAGGAGCCTCCCTGAAGGGTGCCCCCAGGACTTACCCAGTGGGGAGCCCCGGAGCCACTCAAAGGGGACCCCCCAGGAGCCTCCCAGAAGGGTGAGCCCCCAGGAACCTCCCAGAGGGGTGAGCCCCCAGGAGCCTCCCCGAAGGGTCCCCCCATCACTTACCCAGTGGGGAGCCCCGGAGCCACCCAGAGGGGACCCCCCAGGAGCCTCCCAGAGGGACCCCCAGGAACTTCCCAGAGGGGACCCCCCCCAGGAGCCTCCCAGAAGGGTGAGCCCCCAGGAACTTCCCAGAGGGGTGATCCCCCAAGAGCCACCCCGAAGGGTGTCCCCAGGACTTACCCAGTGGGGAGCCCCGGAGCCACCCAGAGGGGTACCCGCAGTGGAGCCCTGGCAGGGGGCGGGCCCTGGCGGCCCTCCTCCAATCACGGGCCTCGTCTGCTAGCCCCGCCCAGGTGGCAGTGGGGATGCTGCAGGGGCCACGAGGGGTCCCCAGGGCGGCTGCTCTGACCCGTGGACCCGCCCTTGCCCCCAGCCTGCCTGCGAGTCGCTGGCCCCTCCCTCGACGCCCCTCCCCAGTTCAACGGATGACCAAAGACCTTTCTTACGCCGGAAGCAAAAACCAAAACTTTTTGTTGGCTTTTCCTTTGTCGCCTCCCAGACCCTCCGCTCCGCCCCCAGCTCCGCCCCCGGCCCAGGCTGGCAGCCCTCCCCCCACTTAAGTTATTGTTTTAAACCAAAGTTTACAGTGTCTGTTGGTGGCCAAGACCCTCCCTCTCTCTCTGCACCCCCCCTCCCCAGGACCCGGGGGCATCGCCCCCCTCTCGGCTCCTGCCCAGCCAGGGGGGAGGGGGCAGCGCGCAGACGTGGGGGGGCGGCGGCACCCGGCCGGGGGGCGGGGTGGGGGGCATGGGGGCCGAGCGCTGCTGTCCACCCTGGCTGCTTCCTGGGGGCGCGCCCAGACCCCCTCCCGAGGACCAAGTCCCCCACCGTGCTGGGAGTGTGGCTTCCAGAGAAGAAGCTGGGGGTGGGGGGGGCGGGGAAAGAGACTCCACAGACCCCCTATGGGGGACCCCGACTCAAGGCCAAGGACTGGGAGTGTGGAGTGCTCACGGCTCCCTAGGTCAGGCCCCTTTGCTGAGAAGACCCCTTGGACGACTTCCCAAAAGACCCCCCCCCACATACACGCCCTTCACAAGTCACCCCTCGAGAGGCGGGGGCACCCCGCCCCTCCCCATGTACTCCCCACCTGTGTTCCAGTTTGACCAGCACAGAAATATTAAAAGTCCTCTACTCACCGGGCCCTGCGTGTGTCACCCAGCGGGCGGGGGTGGAGGGTGGCGCCGGGTGGACGGTGGGGGTTCCCTGGGGGCCTTGCCAGAGACCCTTGGTGTATGCAGACTGGCACCAGCTTCCTGCTTCCTGGGCCCCTCCCTGGTCACTGGGCCTGCGGTGGGTGGGGGTGGGACTCATCATCCAACCCCTAGCTGCCCACTTCTTTCCAGGCAGTTTCCCGCAGACTCGGAGGGGTCCCTCGCCTTGGCCATGGCGTAATACCTGCCCCCACCGGGTGGCATCTCAGCCAGCTGGGCTGCAAGGGCTGCCATCGGACTGGTGGGCCTGGACCAGAAAGGGGGTGTTGTCTTGATTTCCCTCCTTGGGCACCCCAAGCCGTGGGGGTGGTCAGGAACATCTCAGATCCTCCCCCCTGACACTTCCTAAGCCACTGAACCTTCACCCGCCGAGCTTCCCCCCCACCCCCCCACCCCCACCCTGAGCCATCAAAGGGGTCACAGACAGTTGGGAGGGGAGATGGCTGAACTTGTTTGGCCTACTGCTCCCTTTGTAGGGAAAAAAAAATGTGTGTGTGCTCTGGAAGCCTGTTTCAAGCCAAGCACCCTGTAATCACTCCTGGGGGCACCCCCAGCACCGTCGGGGGAGGTTCACCCACTTCGGGGACTAGGGACGGGAGTGTGCCCTAGCGTTCCTTCCGCACCTCCTCAGCGAGTCCACTGCACACACCTTCCTTTAGCGCCCGTCACCTCGTCCCTGACCCAGCAGGAGGGGTGGCCGGTGGGGGGGTCCAGGAGAAAGCAGACTAGTACCTGCCAGTAACTGCTGGAACTTTCCAAAAAGCCAGTGTAGGGGGAGGTGTAGGGGTGGAAGGGGGTCCTGGCACGGAGTCTTTCCTGACTTCCAGATTCAGGCCCGCCTCCTTCCTTCTGTTCTCTCCTCTCTGTCCAATGATCCCGTCCACTCCTCTGGCCTCACCCAGAGAGGCTGGGCTCATCTCCCCGTACCCACATGGAGGGCATCTCGTGAGGGGCCTCGCCTAGGGACCCCATCTAGAAGTCGCCCAGCTCTGCGGTGACAGCCTCTCCACTCCAGAAGTTTCCCCTCTGGGCAGGCCCGGGGACGCCCCACACCAGAGGCTCAAGGAGGAGTGGACAGGGGCTGGAGCAATAGCACAGCGGGGAGGGTGTTTGCCTTGCACACGCTGACCTGGGTTCAATGCCCAGCATCCCATAGGGTCCCCCAAGCACCGCCAGGAGTAATTCCTGTGCATCACTGGGTGTGACCCAACAAGAAAAAGAAAATCAGGAGGGGACAGCATTTGTTCTGCGACGTCCTTTGGATACTTCTCCTCATGGGCAGTGCCAGGAGGCACCGGAGTCTCATGGGTGCTGCCGAGCGCAGGGCTGTGGGGTGACTTGCTGCTCAGCGTCTCTGACAGGACTGTCCTACCCTTCAATCTCTGCTCCTTGCTCCCTTGAGACCTGGTTATATTCATCCTCAGGGCTGGTGCCTTCGGGCATGGGTGAGGGGTGAGGGAGAGGCCCCTGAGGACACGTCATGTGAGTGGGCGTGTGTGTGTGCGCGCGCACACACACACACACACACACACACACCCCTCCAGACCCCTGCTCTAACGTCTCAGGGGCACCTCACCATGGCTCCCTGGCTGCGTGTCCCCCCGGCCCCCGCCTGCCTGCTGTCCGCTGCTCCCCTCCTGGCCAGCCAGAGCTGCTGGGGCAGAGGTGCGCTCCGACTGGCAGCTGGCCCCCCTCTTGCGTTTCTTCTTAAGTGTTTTTAAATAACTGCTCCACATTCAGCGATGATCAGCACTTGCTCCAGGCGCTGCGCGGGGACCATTTGATTCCAGGAATCAAACCTGGGTCAGTGCAGCAAGTACCTTAAGCCTGGACTCTCTCTCCGGCGCCAGCGGTACATGCTGAGCGTGTGCATGACGGGAATCTGAAACACACAGCCCGCGAAGGACAGTCATGGTAATTCTGAGCACTGGGCCTGACTCCTCCCAGAGCCGTGACGGGGCCTGCCCTGAGGGACATGCACGGGAGCCAAGAAGCCTCTAGAGGAACTGGGACGTGACTCAGGGCTGAAGCCTGGGCCTGCCGTTGCGAGCACACAACATCCCCCCCCCCCCCCACACACACACACACACCCTGAGAAGGGGCCTGCTGGGTCCGGAGCAACAGCACTGCGGTCAGGACCCGGACTCGATCCCCAGCATTGCTTCCGGGCTTCCCCGAACACCACCTGGAGAAATTCCTGAGTGCAGAGCCAGGAGCGAGCCCTGAGCATCATTGGGTATGACCCTCCTGGGAAAAAAAAAAAAAAAGAGGGAGCCTTCTGGAAGGGAACGTCTTGAAAATGGAAAGATTGCACTGCATGTTGGGGTTCGGGCGGAAGCCGCCTCCCCGTCACTTTCTGCCAGTCCCCTCCTTTAAGAACCCCTTCAGGGGCTGGAGTAATAGCACAGTGGGTAAGGCGTTTGCTTTGCACGCGGCCGACCCGGGTTCGATTCCCAGCATCCCATATGGTTCCCCGAGCACCGCCAGGAGTGATTCCTGAGTGTGTGAGCCAGGAGTAACCGCTGTGCATTGCTGGGTGTGACCCAAAAAGCAAAAAAAAAAAAAAAAAAAAAAATTAAATTAAAAAAAAAGAACCTCTTCATCCTGGCCTCACCTTCAGCCGGCAGAGGGCGCTTTAGACAACGTGGACCTTCTGCTGGGCAGGTTAGAGAAAGATGGGGGTGGGGGGGGCTGTGGGCAGGAGGGGCTCCACTTCCGGTGAGGAGGGCAGCCCTCCACCCACCAGAGCACAGTCTTTAGACCCCTTCTGTTGTTTGGGGGCTTTCCAGCCCCCTCCACTGTGTGGCCGGCCAGCGCAGCAGGTGGAGGTGGAGAGACAACCCAGAGAAAGGCTGTTCTCAGCTGGGTCCGCAGGCTCGGTTGGGGTGGGGGCCACACCTGGCGACGCTCAGGGAACCACACACAGTGCCAGGGATCAAACCTGCGTTTCCCACACACACAGGCCTGCTCTGAGCCGGCTGAGCCGACTCTTGGCCCCTCATGGAAGGGTCAGTAGCAGTGATTACTAAGGGGTGAACTTTTTTTTTTTTTGCTTTGTGGGTCACACCCAGCAATGCTCGGGGGTTCCTCCTGGCTCTGCACTCAGGAATCACTCCTGGCGGTGCTCGGGGGACCATATGGCGTGCTGGGAATTGAACCCGGGGCCGGCTGCGTGCAAGGCAAACGCCCTACCCTTATTGCTCTAGCCCTGTGATTCCTTAATGTGTGTGTGTGTGTGTGTGTGTGTGTGTGTATGCGTGCTTTTTGGGTCACACCCGGCGATGCACAGGGGTGACTCCTGGCTCATGCACTCAGGAATGACTCCTGGCGGTGCTCGGAGGACCCTACGGGATGCTGGGCATCGAACCCAGGTCAGCCGCATGCAAGGCAAACGCCCGACCCCGCTGTTCTATCACTCTGGCCCCAACGCGTGGTCAGCTCTTACCACCGACCCGACACACTTCTCAGAGCTCTTTTATGAAGGCCC